CCCCCAAAGCCTCATGAGGACATAGGTGGGGCTTTTCAGAGGTGACTGGATCTAGGGTGTGTGCTGCTGGGATCAGGGATGTAATTCAGGGAGGATTCACAGTGTGATGCCAGGATTAAGGGTGTGAGTGCTACCCTCCCCACCAGGGGCAGAAAGAGAGCTGCCATTGTTGCCGCTGGTCAGTTTGCTTGCTGGTTTGCTGCCTTCTACCTGCCATGAACTATTGCTCCTCTGTGATGCCCCTCTGCATGCCACCTTGCCTTGGAGCCAGCAGATTACAGACTGAAGCCTGTACAAACTAGATACACCTTTCCTCTTTTAACTTTGAGTGTCAGGTATTGTGTCTCAGCAATGAGAAAAGTAACTAAGACACATACCAATGTTTATATCAGCACAATTCCCAATAGCTAATCTTGGAAGTGGCCTCTACGTCCATCAATAGATGAATGGATAAAGAAAATGTGGTTCCTAAACATAACGGGATACTACTCAGCTATAAAGAAGAATAAATTAGACAGGCTGGCGATTTAGCTCAGTGGTTCTTCGGGCTGCCTTGAAAGCACAAGGAACCGAGTTCAATCTCTGATACCAAAATAAAAAAAAAAAAAGAAAAGAAGAATAAATTAGAGACATTTATAGAAAATGGGTACACCTTGAAAACAAAATGTTAAATGAAGTAAATAAGATACACAAGATTCAGTACCACATTATAGAGAAAAGGTAAAGAGGATATTTACCAGAGACCCCTGCAAGTGGGTCCTGGTCTTCTGTGAGCCAGTATGATATCTATGAGACAGGAAAGAAGGAAATAAAGACACAGATTCAGAGATTTCCCAGAAACTGAGTCTTGGGCTGATCAAAGCTGCTCTGGGCAGCACAGATAAAGACACCAAGGACATCCAGTGGTTATTCATTACAAGCGTGGGAAGGAGGGGAGCTGGGCAGGCCTTGGGACACCTGCTAACAAGTACCAAGCAGGCAGAACTGCAGAATGAGGGCACTAGTGTATCTTTGCTGAAGAGAACAAAGGGTTAATTCAGAGGGGAAGAATTGAGTTGGAGTCATTTGACCTTGGCTGGAAATGAACTTGGCTGAGCCCTGCTACTTCTTGGACTAGGACTTAAGTGTCTCTATAACAGCCATTAGCAAAGGAACAATACCAGCCCAACTCTGCTATCTGACATGCCCATTTGAGTTACGTAAAGCTTTGGTTAGACTCCAAAGATAAAATACAGCCAAATCAGAGGGGCAAGAAGCTTATGCCACTATAGCCCATTAATATTGGGCAGAGGTGCCTGCTATACCATGTGGTTTCTCTCATATGAGAAATCCAAAGAACAAATAAAGAGCAATATAATGATTGCCAAAAGGGAACAGGGTAATAGATGTTTTGCAAATGGGGTGGGGACCAAGAGACTGAGGGTGGGGGAAGCAAGGAGGGGAAGAGCATGTAAAGAGATTTAAGATGTGTCATGTACACATACCAAGTACTCACAATGTAATCATTATATGTCCCAAACATGAACGAAAAATAATTATAATAATCAAGGAAGCAGTTGAAGTGGCAGCAGTGGTGGTGAGCGGTGGTCACAGTGGTGGCAGCGCACCCAGAGCCGTCCTGAGAACCCGGTTTGATGGAGCGAAAGAGGTCAGACTGCCTGCATATACAGACCCTTTGCTGCCTTATTGCTAGTTACATTAAATACAGTCTATGACAAGAGTTTATTAATGTTGTGCTGTAGCCAACATCCATGTGAGCATGTACAATGGCCCACATGCAGAAAAAGGTTGAAAATTAAGGCAGTAAGATCAAGATTATGGTGGAAGTTAAGAAGGAAATCATCAAGAAGTACAGTCAGAAAATGCAAGATTTTATAAGAAGTCTACATTGATCATTTGTACAATATTAAAGAAGAAAAAAAGTAAAAGAGCTAGATGCAGCAAACAGAGACACAAAAATATCAAAAGCATCAGCCACATATTCTGGAAGATTAGAAAAGTTGCTTCTGGTTGGGATAAACAAGAAGCAAATAGCGGGTGACACTGTGACTGAGAACTATCTGTGAGAAGGCAAAGGCAGTGTAAGTAGACTGCCAGGTACAGGAAGAGAAAAACAAGCCTTCCAGGCACACAGGATAGCTTCATGATGCTAAGAGGAGAAGTGGCTTCCATAGCATTCTGAGGAATGGAGAGGCTGTGAGTTTGGACACTAAGGCAGCTGAGGCATCCATTACTGAGTTCTAGAAGCTCCTGGTTTCTGAGTGTTACATACCGGAGCAAATTTTTAACTGCAACAAGACAGGCTTTTTAGAAAGAGATGTCAAAGAGGACCTACATTACAGAAGAAGAGAATGCAATATCTGGTCACAAGCTCATGAAAGACCATCTCACCCTCTTGTTTTGTGCTAATGCAAGCAGGGATTTCAAAATCAAGCCCCTGCCTGTGTATCATTCCAAGAATCCACCAGCCTTCAAGAACGCAAGGTGAAGAAGAGCCAGTTAAACATTGTGCGGAGGTCCAACAGCCAGGCTTGTGTTGCTTATATCTTGTTTGTTGAAGTGGATCACCAAGGTCTTCAGTCCTGCAGTGAAGAAAACCTTTTAGAAAAGAGTCTACCACTCAGTTTTGCTCATTATGGATATGCACCTACTCATCCTCCAGACTTTGAGGACAACTTATTGGAAAAATTCAGGTTCAGTAAGGTCCCCACACCACTGCAGTCCCCAGCCAGTGAATCAGCAGGTCACTTGAACTTTACAAAGCTTTACATCAAAGCCCTATTTCAGCAGTGCTTCTAGGAGACCAAAGGAGCAAACCTTCCCCTTCGAGAGTTTTGGAAAAATCATTTCCACATCATAAACTGCTTCAAGATCATCAGTAAAGCCTGGGATGGGGTCATCAGGAGAACCCTCAATTCTGCTTGGAGAAAACCTTGGCCTGATTGCATTCTTGTACATGATGTAGAGGGGCCTGCTCATAAATGGGAGCCACCAGTTGTCAATGAAATTGTGTCCTTGGGGAAGACCATGGGACTGGAGATGAATGAGGATGATGTTTAAGAGATGGAAGAGGAGTAATCCCAACACTGAGGCAGGTAGATCACCGCGAGTTCGAGGCCAGCCTGGGCTACATAGTGAGACCATATTGCCAAAAAAAAAATTAAATTAAATTTTAAAAAATTATAAAGCTGGTGGAGGAATGAAGGAATGGATCTGCATGACGAACAACAGCAAGAGGTGACAGAGGAGATCTGGTCTGCAGAGGCAGAAAAGTAAAGGGGGAGGAATCCCTCACTTCAAGTAGGATTAGGGAGATGTGGAAAATGTGGGAAACTGCAAAATTTTGTAGAAAAGCACTACCCAAATAAGGCTGCAGCAGTGCAAGCAGTGAATCTGTTTAATGATAATGCAAGGGCACATTTCCACGAAATCCTCAAAAGGAGGCAAAAGCAGGTGTCATTGGATAAGTTCCTTGTAAAAGTTGCATGAAAAGAGAAAGATTCTACTGAGCCAGTAGACAACAGTGATTCATTCCTTTAGTGATAATGAAAGTCCTCCTACACAATAACCATCCTCTCTCTTGTCTCCCTCACACCAACCATGAAGATTTTCAAAGTAAGTGCAGGTTAATTTGTTTGTTTGTCTTTATATTTTGTATTTTCTTTATTATTTTCTATTATAGTATTGTAATAAAAAATAATAATGAAAACTGGGGAAGGGGATCTGGAGATGGAGGGAGGGAGAAGGATGAGGAGGAGAAGGGGAATAAAAGAATCACGATATATTAAGTACATGTACCTACTCCCAAAGGTGAATGTAAACATCATGTACTGGAAACATACATTAATACAAGCACTTAAAAATAAGTAATAAAATCGCTTGTGGTAATGGATACACAGTTTTGTGAATATGATAAAAACAGTGATTTATGTGATCTATATGGTATATTGTCATTGGTTTCTCCAGAGGGAAACCAGAGACCCCGGAAAGCCCCGACTTTTAAAGAAAGAAAAGGAGACAGCCTGGGGGACGAACAGCAGTTTAATTCCTCTGACACTATTCGACAACCACAAAGGAAAGAAGCAAGGCTTTTATACATGTAGGAAAGCAGCTTAGTTATTCTCGCTATTGTCATTCTGATTTTCACCTCTGATGATAACCAGTGACTTTAAGTGACTCATAAAAGCTACAGGAGAATTCACAAGTCCCCTGTTTCCATTCACCAATCCCATACATCAAAGAGCACACTGCAGCCCTCTTCTTATCAGATAGTATCAAGAGAGCAGGAAGACTTTTAGCCAAAAATCAAGCCCACCGGCTCACCATAAACATCACAGATGTGCATAGTGAGTCATATCTCTCTTACCACCCGTAGAGTCATTGGGTCGCGGTCCTCTGATCCCAGAAAATGGTAAATAAGAAAACTAGGAAAACCTGTTTTTCTCCTGTGAGACTTTTACAAGGTCTCAAAGTTTTCTGGCATTCTTTTAACAAACAGA